CAAGCATAGAAAAATAAGTGAATTATTCTAAAATAGGAGGATCTATTTGCATACCTATAAATACATGAAATAACTGCTTTTTTCCTGATTTAAAGTTATACATACACTCACACACTACAATTACAACTTTATAAAGTCATTTAATTATTTGAATTCTGTAAACACCTCTTAAAATGGTAAAGAAATGGAATGATCATTACAGAATCTTAATTTTTTTATTCAAGTTTAAAGATAGATGATGTCAAATGCCAGACAGCTGAGCCTGTCTGCATCAATTAAAAATATAAATTTCCAGGCAACAGAAAAATACTTCTGAGGACATTTGAAAAAAATCCCTCTGAAGATTTCACCCTCCCTGTTTCTGCATTCTGAGTGTCCCTCATGCAATTCTAATTTATGCAGTGATGGATATCCTGAGAGATGGAAGCTGTCTTATAGACATGGAGATAAAATAATCCCTAAGTGAGAAGAACCAGTTTGGTTTCAATAACACTATACTCAGCACTGCAGGTAAAATCAATTTCATTAACTTTGCTGGTTAGCATAAATATTAACTTTGCCAGTTAGCATAAATATAATCTTTCTGATTGAAGTACCAGTTTGTCAGAGAATCAGACTCTCCTCACCTGGTAATAATCCAATACAATTTAATGACAGTTTTCCTGAGTAAGGAAAATAATCTTTTCATAGACTCCCTTTCAAAGCCGAGTTGCAACTCTCTGGCCTAAGTTTTTGTGTTTGTGCCATCTTGTCTCTCCTGAACCAAAGGCCATGTCACATTAAGTTCTTGTTCTTCTGCTTTCCAGCAAGGAGACACTGAGCACCATGAAATATGTTGTATTCTGGGGCCTTTTGAATGAGTCCATGGAAACTCAGCTCCTGCTCACCCATGATTTGAAATAACCTAATCCTATAAAATGCTAAATCACTCTGGCAAAGTTCCTGAAATCCCATTCCTCTGGATATCAGCGCTGAGTTATGAGGTACTGTAGATTGCCAAAGATGGACCATGCTCTCAGGGCATCTTCTCAAGCCCTCTTGCCCTAGTCCTACTGCAGCCTAATTTGCTGCATGTTCCCGAGATGCTTCCAGAGAACTCCGAGGTGCAAAGGACAAAAGAATTGCAAGGCTCAATCCATCTTTTAGCAAATACAGTGGAAAAAGCCTGTGTGGTCTTTACAAAAATAGGATCTGTTTTCTGGAAACCACAAAGGATTTGCGTCTGGTAGACTCCCAAATCTTGGCATTGTATTTCAAAAGCATTTTTTGCAATAATTCAACACATACCCTACACCACAGGTAAAGATCCCAATCCTTCACAAGCACAGCTATTCTGCTTGGGAGGCTGAAAGCACTCAATTTTTATTGAAGCCCACCAGCCTTACTTCCTCAGCTCCTTGCAAGATGCACTTTGCACTCAATGCAAAAATCCATGAAGATCCTTTCGTATGGAATGGGAGTGCTGGGTCCCAGCTGCAGGAATAATGCAAGAGTATTTGTGCTCAAAGCAGAAACTGTGTCTTTTTGAAACAAAGCACGCTGCTGCTTTAACTAACCCTACCAAAATGAGATTCACAGAGTTCTGCCCCAAGGAGAGACTGAGGGACAATAAACGCAGATGCCAACAATCAATCTCCTCGCTCAATGAGCCACCAAAAAAGTCCTTTGAGATGGCAGCAATAAGGGCAAAGCAAGGCTCCACACAGATCAGAATAGATGTGTGCATATATACTTGTGTGTGTATATTCAAAATAAATCTCTTCTTTTTATGCTTTTTGTTCAACTACATTATCAAAAAGAGGTTTTAAATACAAGCTTATGAGACTACTAAAGAGGTGAATTTATGAATGTATTCCTAACAAAACACACTCTGGAAAGCTTTAATCTATGAATTGTGACAACCTTGGACAAAATGGATTTTTAATAGAATATAATGTAAACTGCCTGAAACATTGTGATAAGGAATTTTTTTTAAGTAATGCACAGAAAAGGCATGATGCACTCTGCATGAAAGGAGGAAAGGTCTTAATTTAAAGCATTTTAATGAACACTCAATTTGCGTAGGGAAATGTGAGAAATGGAGATGAAAAACTCATGATAATGATAACACTGCAGAGGGGAGAAGGAGAAAGATTAGAAAAGTAAGCAAATTTGAAAAGGCTCCAGCCGATAACGCTGGCTAAAAGGAATGCAGACTGGATTACAAACATGTCACAGTCCAAAGCCACTGTTCTCCTTGCAGGCAGTGTCTGTCGGTAGCTCTTATCAGAGTTGCACACTGGGGAAGAAAGATCAACCGAAGTGCGAAGCAGTGGAGAACAGACCTCTCTCTGAGCTAAGGGCAATGAGGATAGTCAGAGATTTCGGCAAATGCAGTTCTGACTTGCTGGAGTTTCTCACTTTCACCGAACCTCCCGGAGCTGTGCCAGCCCAGCCGCCTTGCAGGGCAGCCGGGGCTTTCTGCCCTCTCTCAAAGCCCAAGGTGGGCATTGCAAAACCATAGCAAACTCAACCATCTCTTCCTCAGAGAAAACTATCTGGGCTCTGAGGCTCAGTCCTGGCTTACCCGCTTCTACTACCAGTGTAATGCCGGGCAAGTCAGGAGAACTGAAATTACTTCCAAGAGAGAAAAAACAGTCTCCCCCGAGGTAGATACGTTTCTGTTTACTAATAGCTTCTGCTCTGCAATGAAAGAGATTGATCCTGCACTCTCACTCATACATAAATTGCCTTTAATGAAGATCCTTGAATTACTAAAAGGAGGAACAGATGAATCGGGTCTAGTGACAATTGTGCCACATTGACCTTAACAGAAGCAAGTTCACGTCTGTGCTCATTTAAATGAAACAGCAGAACCCCCACATGAACACTTAACATTCTTCAAAAGAAACAAGAGGGCCACCATTATGACCAAAAAGGCAAATTAAAGTGAAGATCAAAGTTAAATATTTACTCTAAGCACTACAATATTTGCAAATCTGGAAACGATCTTTCAGCACTTTCTATTTGCATACTTTAATTAATCCAAAAATATTAAACTAATCTCACAAAGGAAAGGGTCAAAGTATTAATTAACTTGAGATTCGTTGCTTTTGTGCAATTTAACAGTTCAACACAAAGCAAAACTCAGTTTTAATAAAAACTAAGTTACTGTGACAGGTATAATTTCATGGATTAGTGAGAGCACGTACAAGGCAATAAGTTTCAGTGTTCATCCTATTTTTTGTCGAACTTTAAAAATAGTTGTTTCATTTCAATAGAGAGATTCCTCTGTAACACCAAATGATCTTAAGTTTTCCTTTAACCTCAGCATTTCACTTTCAAATTGATGGCTTTCCACCTTGCTCTGAACAGAACAGAGGTCACAGTTGTTTTAGAAAAAAAACCTGACTGCAATGTTAGCAGAGAGCAGATACTGCCCACCCACCCAGATCAGCCGCCTGAGCGATTCAGGTTGAGATTTCACTGCTAAAGCCATCAGGCGTCATCGCGCAGCTCCAGCACGGGCGCGAAGGTTCCCCTCTGAGCCAGCGTGTCTGTGGCTGAGCTCTCGCCCTACCAAAGGGACTCACTGGCTTCTTTAACAGCTTTTGGAGGAACTGGGAAATCTTGCCAAAAGACAGAGGATTTGTGGACAGAACATACTGTGCCAAATCCAGCTGCCAGAGCTCTGCTTTATCAGGACATTAGCCCATGAAACCCCAGCAAAATAATGATGGGAGGTGGCTAGAATTTCCTACATCACCACCTTAGAATTGGGACTTTGACAAACGTGCTTAGGAAACAAGAGGGGACGCCCTCCACCCACAGCCCTTTTTTTCTTTCTTTTTAAATGGAGAGGAAGTGTATGAAACAGCTAATGAACTGAAAGGTTTGCCTGGCATTTCATGACAGAAAGCTCTGTAGCACTCGACTTAACAGAGACACTGAGCGGGGAATCACTTCCCCTCACTTCACCGTTTACAATGCAAATGTCTGCGTACCAGTCACTCACCTCCACTCTGCATCTTTACTGGAGAGAAACGGGCACCTTTCGCTTGCTGTTCATCAGGCCTGCTTTACACATCCAAGAGGACCCTTACCTTAGCAGTGCCTATTTATCCCTGTTGCTGAAAAGCAAACTCACCTTAAACAGCTTTCACCTCAACACTTTTATCGCAGCTACCCAGAGCTAGATGGGATTCATTTGTTCCTCAAATACAGCTTCAGAAACTAAACAGAGTAGAAACTCTCTTTGTACTTCAAATCTCTGGCAACAATCTTCCTAGGTCTCAACAATTACTAACAACCATTTTTCTCCCTTACAGGAGCTTTCAGAAAAAGATGGATGCAAAAGACTCCTCAAATAAAAATTTTGACATAAAGTTTTGCAATTTCCTAATTATGATACAATTTCAAGATGAATTTATGCACAGTGTTCTTTAAGTGTAGGGTAACTGCATGATAATGGAGAGAAATTGCTTGTATTGTAAAATACATAATTCTGACTAACAATGTAAATCTCTCATTACCTTTGATATAGCTTGTGGGAGCATTACCATAACAAACATACACAGCATTCATGAGACAGTTCATACACGCTCATAGGTGTTTTGCAGCAATAATGACTAACGCTTAATAGCTATTACTTTCATGGCTTTTCAAATAAAGAAGACAGCATTGTCCTATACTGCTTTCAATTATTCTTCATATTTCTCTATTTAAATCCATTTCTTTCTGTTGGCTCTTTGGCAACAGGGATTCTCCTGCTGCCCTGAAGGTGCATGAAAAGCAAATGTGAGCCAGGACTAGTTGGCTGCCTCCAGATTAATTTGATAATCTACTTCCGAAGCTCAGAAGTAAAACAAAAAGAAAAAAGCTCTCATCAGATCACCTATTTCCAAGGAGGCTGAGGAGGAAAAAATACTGCTATTAAAAGAGCAATATGACTCCTTAAGGAAGCTATTGTGTGTCTCAGCATTTTAGCAAGGGTTAATGCACAAAAGCACTTGGCGGCTTACCTGTTCTCTGCGTTTGGGTCGTTGTGCACACAGGTGATCGTGGCAGTGGTCCTTGCGCTGTCTGTCTCTTCTTGAACCCCCCACTGGTCTGCATCACTCACCCTGATGTCCATGATCTTCACACCTGGGGCTGTCCTAATTCTGTTGGGGAACAACAGGGATTGCTTTAGTTACAGACCTCCTACAAATAAATCCAGGAAGGTAAACAAGGAAGAGGAAAGGATATATTCTCTCTTCCATTAGTAACAGACTGATACATTGCAACTGTAAGTCACTCTGCTTTAAAAATATAAAACAGGTCCAATCATTTTAAAGAGATGAAGTATGAGTTTCATTATGTGCAAAGCCAGTTAATTTTCAGCTTGAACAATGTGGAGAGAATAAGAATGCTTTCTGCTTCAATGGCACTAGTTTGATATAAATGAAACAGATGTGACTAAGCATAAGTTGATTTAATTTGTTGTGTCTGTCCTGCAGTTTAAGATGGAGATCAGAGCACTGGGATATAAAATACATCCTCCTGCTAGCAAACCTTTGGGAGCAAGGTGCCTTTTAATATTAGGGTGATCTGCATGAAAAAAATGTGTTTCATTGCTCGAAGACCATAATGTAGGAAGGAGAGAGAAGGAATACGTTCTCCTGGATCAGGAACTGAGGGATGAAAATAATTCTGCCATTGTATTGGGATCTATCAAACTGGGCACATCAAACTCTTGCTGTTGAAAATAGTTATAATGCTGACATGAAAAAGCTTGATTTCCTAAGCACGGCTAGAGTCTGAAAGCAGTTTGGTAGTTGGCAAATGTCACTGGTTTTTGGCTTTAAAAAAATTTGCAAGAAAAAAAAGTCCATGCTCTGGTGGGGCTCAGTGTTAGGAACAGATTGCCAAGGAATAGGAAACAAACTGTTTTTAATAGCAGGGGCTTCACTTGTGCAGCTTGTGCAGCTTGACTTCCGAAACAAGTCTGGGATTTCAACAGGAGTGCTGCAAATATGCCTGGAGAACAATTAGGCAGAAAGCAACTGCTGTAGCGCCACGTTCGCCACTACTGTGACTTAATTAATTAAAAGCAAAGCCAAGAGGGACCTCTTAGTTGTATGGTGGAATGAAACAGCACTGCTGAGACTTGAAGCGTTACTTAACAGTGAATTGTGATGCATTTGCCCTGATGCCTCGTGGCCAGTTGGTGCTTACGTTACACTACTAAAAATGTCCTTTAAGTTCTAGCTGAGTTCGTGGGTTTCAATCAAAGTAACTTCAAGACTCAATGGGTAGCCTCTTCCTCTGAGAAGGAATTAATTCATCCTGCTTTTATAATATCCTTATTTTTGCCTGTAAGGCTTTACTGACTTGATGGGCCGAATTCATGCCTGGCATACCCGATCTGATGAAAAACGTTTCCTGTAAGGAGAGAATTTTACTTGATATTTTTCTAATTGTCTCCTTCATGTTTCTCCACAGACATTCATATCTCCAAACAACATGCCTCAAAACTTCTGTGCCCCTTTCCTATCATCTCCTCTTCTTTTTTTCAGAGGAACATTCATTTATTCTGTGGTAATTACACTAGACCAAATCATTCCTGCAAGACACCTACATGGCTTCATTTCAGACTGACTTGTAATTTACATGAGATAGAGAATTAGGCCTTCAGCAACAGATCCAATTTTTTTTTTTCGTTACACTTAGTCAACCACTCTTGAAAAAAATCTTTAGGGCCTGACCAAATTAAAAAACCCACCACCACTTTTTAAAAATTTTCTCTTTCCCAGCCAAAATTATATTTTTTAATGAATTTGCCTCCTTACTACCCCCTCAATTTCCCATGTTTTTTCTTGACAACATGTCTGGAAACCTCTAACTCAACTTTCCACCCAAGTCAAAGCCCTGGTTAATTAAAGGTTAATTGAAGAGCAGGAGATGCTGGGTGGGGCAGGACAGCTGGATTTCACCCATGATTTCAGGATTCATCAGCCTTTTTCCATCTGTCAGAAGCTTGTATGTCCTCCTACACAGCTTTTGCACTACAGATATCTTCACTCTGCAGCATTTACTTCCTTCTACTCTGATCCAAATCTAGCCCGGCAGTTTACCCCAATGAGGATGAAAAGCACCATGGCACAATCCCTGCTGCGCCTGAGCAGGCTTTAACCATGCAGGACCTCTGTGCAGCTCTCTTCCTTCTTCAGGGAAGCTGAAGCTGCTGCTCCTCTTTACCTCCATCAGTGGTCCCCACACAGCGTAGGGGTAAGGATGCAAGAATCTCAAACACCCACATCTATATACGTGCCTGGCTGTTCCAACCTCTCTGGACACACTGCATCCCAAAACACTGGCATCCCTCTTGGGCCAACCCCTCAGCCCAGGAGCTTTGCTGTTTCTTGTCTTGTGTCTGAATACAGCTACGAGATGCTTTTGCCTGTCTGGACAGCAGATGAGACTCTCCCAAAGCCTGTCCTGTTGGCTCACCACTTGGCTTCTCCTTCAGGGCACCGTCCCTTAACAGGAGGCCTTCTGGTTTTTGGCAAGGCTGTCTTGTTGACTGTGCCTACAGCTTTCACTTGCTGCATATCCACTGTCTTGCTGGGTTAGCATCAAGTGAACATCACATACTCTGCTCCCCAGCTACATTTTCCAAAAATGTCTCAGAACGCTGCATTTTAGGAAAATTTCCAGTCTAATCCCCTGCAATGCATCTGCTCTGGTGGGCTGAGACAAGATGTCATTTTGCATTTTTGGATATCAGTAGAGCCAGGAAGGTTGAAAGAAGGAAGAAACTGAATGCAGCTTCTCGCTTAGGAAAAGTCAAGAAATTCAAATTAAACCAGCCTACATATGGGAGGTTTGAGCCTACTATTCTTCAGATAAGTGATTCATATCTTTAAATCTGCCCCCAAACTCCACAGGCACAAAAATTGTTGTAAGTGTTGGGGACAGGGGTTTTGAAAAACGGTAAGAAACTCCTACCAGAGCTGGCATTAACTGGAGAAAGGATGGTGAATGGCTAGTGTGTGAGCCCAGGCGCTGGGTTTATTGCCCTGCTCTGTGCCAGGCTTCAATTATAAGCTTAGGTGGATCATTTAGTTTTCTTTCCCCACATACAAAATACTAGGAAGTGCTGCTCTTCCAACCCCAAGGGAGCTGTAAGGATAAACAGAATGGCTTAAGAAAAATCTGATGCCCTTTCAATTTACCACCTGACAAAAAAATCTGCCATCTCAGGGCTTGAAAACATGCAAACAATCTACTGAAGTATTTCACAGAAGCATGACCCAAGATGTAACTGTTACAGTTAAGATGGCTTAATTTCTTTTTTATAAAGATAATTGTGAAATGGGAAAAAAAAAAAACGGAACAAAACATAAGAGCCAATTGGAAATTTGGCAAAACTGACATTTCATTTCCATTAAATATTTGCTTTCTGAAAAGCAAAATATTCAGACAGAAAACTGTCCTGTTAAAAAGCACTTGCCCACCTTTAAAACATTACAATTTATGTGGCATTTTGATAATGCAATTAGCAGAGATGTAAATGAGACAAAGGAATACTGAATGAGCTCACCAGAAGTCAGCCTGCAACAGGGTCCCCACGATACAGCCTGTACCCACAGCCTGTATCACAAATGAGGTGATCACTATTTATTCATGGTACTCTCTTCTTTAGGGGTGGAGCAGGTCCAACAGGAATGTGACATCCTCAAGCACTGTGTTTCATGACACTTATGCCCATAAGATCTTAAGAAGAGGTAGCTGGGGTGGGGGGGTGAGGTGTCAAAGCTATTCAGCACAGGGATTCAATGAAACAACGGCTTCACAAGTGAATTTAGCCCTCTTCTCCAGCTATAAATGCAGAACAGAGGAAGCTGCTTTCGATTTAAACTACAGAATACATTTGGTATCCCTGGCAGTGTTTTTTCCCTGAACAGTGTGTCCCCCATTTACTGTGGAATATAAAGATGGAAACATGATAGACTGAATGGAGCGGGCAAGCAGAAGCATCCCCAGCCTGCCAACTTGGAACGACCAGAAACTATTTTAAAATACAATCCCAGTCTTAAATGTATGCGACCCCATGAATACAGCCGCTCTAAACCTCTTCTCTCAGTTATTACAACAGAAGGAAAGGAGAAGGAACAAGTAATCACTAGGGCTGGAAAGTAACTTAAGGGCTGCAAGAGGGATTTAAACAGCTGAGCACTTAGCGGAAGTGGTGCAGGGACTTCCACTGCCTCCCAGTCAATTAACTGCAAAATCTGAAAGGTAAATGCTTGCTTGCAATACACTCCCAGCAACACTCCTGGCAGCAGTAATTGGGAAGTAAAATCTTGGCAAAAGGAACTTTAAAATAGAAACAGAAGGAAAAGATATTTAGGAAATAAAACAGGAATGTGCTCACAGCAGATGGAAAATGCTCAAAATGATGAGAAAAGAAGACTTTTTCAGAGCTATTTTAGAAATCCTCTTATCTCCCCCCGCCCCATTATGGGGGAAAACATGATCTGAGCTAAATTCACTCTCAATGACGTACTAATAATAACAGTTACAATAATAAATTTCATTTGTAATTTCCAACCATTTTTGTAGTCAGCCCTTCAACATGCATTTTTAGCCCAATTAAAAATAAAATCATGATCCTTCCCCTACAGGAAATTCAAACTGTAGGGCAGTTTAGTTAACTTGCCTAAAATTATACTGTCTCTGCAGAGCCAGAATGAGGGTCGATACATCCTGATTCCCAGGCTTTCACTTCAGCTAGACACCCCTACCCATTTTAAGACCAAACCAGAGCAGAGCTGAGTAATTCTAAGCCCTCACAGAGCATTTTACATATTTGAAGAATTGCACAAACAGCAAGCAATTAGTTCTGAACGAGGTCTCTGGGGAGTTTCTAGTTAAAATACATGTGTTTTAAGATACATTAAGCCAAGCACTACAAATTAAAATAATCACTGAATTCAGACATAACATCTGGGGACTTTCAGGGTGTGGGTGAGATGGGCAGTGTTTCTGTGTAGTAAGGAAAAGAAGCATCCCTGTATAGGGGCAGGAAGCAAGTGGAGTTTGCTGGGAGATGTAAGAAGAAGAGGGTATGTGATTCATTGTTGCTACATCCAGGTGCATTCCACGGCATTTGGGAGGG